AGGTAAAAGCCATAAGTGACTGGCCGGATCCGAAGAACCAAAAGGACTTACGTAAGTGGCTTGGTCTTGCCAATTACTTACACAAGTACAGTTCGAATTACGCAGACATGGCTCGGCGATTATCCAATCTCCTTACAAAAGGTGTGGAATGGTGCTGGACTAGCACCGAGCATGATGCTTTTCAAGCAGTAAAGAAGAGTCTCCTTCATGCGCCAATCTTGGCTTTGCCCGATCCTGATCGACCTTATCAGTGTCGTCTGTGACGCATCTGACTTTGCCATAGGCAGTGCTCTGTTACAGACAGATTTTGATGGACGGGAACGCGTCATTGCGTTTGAGTCCCGACAGCTCAAAGCTGCAGAAAAGAACTACCTAGTTCATGACAAGGAGCTACTTGCAAATGAAGTACGCTCTAGTCAAATTCAGAGTTCATCTTCTTGGCTCTAAGCCGTTTGTGATCTATACCGATCATGCGTCATTGCTCACTGCGACCCAGTCGCCACACCTCTCTCAGAGAATGGCTCGTTGGCTTTCCTTCTTTACTGAGTACAACTTCGAGGTGAAGTATAAGCCGGGGAAGCAGAATACTTTAGCTGATGCGTTGCCACGCAGGCCTGACTATGAGCTTGCTCATGTTACGACTTTGTCGTCGTCGATCATTGACCTCATCCGTTCGGCATATGCCAAGGGTGAACACTGTGTAGCTCTGCTACGTGCTCTTGGGAGCAAGGAGTTCCAGGACTCAGACATAGAATTGTCGGCACGATTACGTGCGAGGTTACATCGATATTCCATCGACCAAGGCCTGTTGTGCTATAGCACGGATGTGGAGGATACCCCTCGCACCGTTGTCCCTCATGATGAGGAGTTGAAGTATCGGATCCTCTATGAGACACATGATACTGCGTTGAGTGGTCATCTCGGTCGTGAGAAGACCTATGGCTCTGTAAGCCAATGTTATTGGTGGCCCAAACTTTATAAATGGGTGAGCAAAGATGTGCGTACGTGTGAAACGTGTCAACGGGTGAAAACCTCAGCTGATGCGGCAGCGCCGCTAGATATTTTGCCTGTACCCAAAGGGTGTTGGGAGTCCATCAGTATGGATTACCTGTTTGGTTTACCGAAAGATTTGTATGGCAACACGGGCATTGTGGGTCTTTGTTGACCGTTTGATGAAAGATGGATCATTTAGCGGCGGTGCCGGATTCTATCGATGGTGAAGGTACACGCTACGCTGTTTATCGATCGAGTGTTTCGACAACACGGTTTGCCGTTGGCAATTATCTCTGATAGAGACCCTCGCTTCACTGGGAAGTTTTGGATAGTCCATCTTCAAGATGCTCGGCACACGTTTGGACATTACCACAGCGGATCATCCGCAGACAGATGGTCAAATCGAGCGAGTGAATCGCATTATCGGTGACATCTTGCGCAGTGTTTACACTGATACGCCGAAGCGTTGTAGTGTGGAGTGAATGCTCCCTGTCGTTGAGTTTGTGTTGAATAATGCCTTGCATGCCTCCACCGGCTACACACCGTTCTATGTAAATGGTCTCACACACCCTCGCGTTCCGTTAACGCTACCACTCCGTGGTTAGGGGCATGGTGGGGGAGGAGTTGCCGATCGGCTTGCTGATATCAGCCCTGCTACTGTTCAAAAACAGGTAAGCGATTTTCTCGCAACGCGATTGAATGTCTTACGACATGTGCGTGACGCACTAGATGATAGCCAAGACAAACAGAAGAGATAAGAAGATTCCAAAGGCAGAGGTTGAATTGAAAGTTATGAGTTCGGAGACCAAGTATTACTCATGGTAAAAACCTACATACAAATGTAGTGTCTACTTTCTTCAAGACAAAGTTGCGTCGGCGCTTCATTGGACCATTAACGGTCGTCGCTAAGAAGGGACTTGTGTATACGCCCAACCTTCCGCGCAAATTGCGCACACACCCTGTGTTCTACGTTGGATTGTTTAAGCCGTATCGGGATCCGTCCGTCCCACGTGAGCTTGGAGGCGCTTGTGCCGCGACATGTGGCATTGCCATCGGATGCTGAATCCGAACCAGGATGTCTAGATGAGCATCCATCCGGCTTTGACCCAACTCTGCCGCCTTTAGGAGAGCTTGTGTCGCGTCGAGAACACTCTGGGTCTTATTCAAAGGCTCTTGAAGACAGCTCACTTCGCGACGTAGCTTCTCAAGCTCGTCCTTCGGTATACCGACCTCATCCGACGCTGCTCGATGATCAAGGGAACCGTCAGTTCCATTTGGAGCGACTCCTGAAACGACGTCGTCGTCAAGGTCAATACCAGTATCTGTTGAAGTGGTGAGGGTATCCGGATTCGGAAAACTCATGGGAGTTTGAGATACCCCTGCGGCAGGATTGCCCATAAGCCTTGGATGTTTTTGAACATCGTGGCAAGGGCCATCGTGTGACCAAAGACGCTTCTCACCAATAGTGGCGGAAGCATGTGGGTAGATGGGTCCCGGCTTGACCAACACCCACATCAATCGGCACAGCCGGAGCATAGCGTGATCGAGTTCGCAACTGGCCTCTGACCTTAAGCTTGGCGTAGTCATACCGAAGCTTTTATTCTAGACGAACGTCTGCAACATCGACACTTGCTCTGAGAGCTAACACGCTGCTGGGGTATCATTTCCGATGCATCCAGCGAATCAAACGCGTTGTCTTCTTCCTCCTGTGATTTGCCTGCGAATAGGAGGATATTTGCACCCTTTATCGGTGGAACCGGTGCACCCCGTGTTTGCATGTCAAGTCGCAACATGTAGCGACTTTAAGTCATCAAGTGATGTTCCAGGTACTTCTCGCGAAGTGTCTGTCGACTCTCAACCTCATCAGGAGATGTGGGCTCAGCGCCTATGGCCCACGTTGCCAACGAACGGCCTGCCTTTTTGGCAGATACGTTCTTCCACACTGGGTGGAGTGAACACATATCCACGGCGACTCTCAAGGGTTGCAGCAAGCTGCGTATGGCGCCGAGCTATCTCCTCTTGTTGGATAGCCAACTGTTGTTGCTCATCGAGCGGATTGGTGATGATGGCATCGCCCACGTAGAGTGGTTGATGCTGCGCCAAGCGCGCGTTGGCATCGCCACGCTCGACAAATGGTTTGGTGCAGTATGAGGCGGTGCCTCTTGCACTGGTGAGTCGGACATTGTCCTCTCTTCACCATGGACATCGATATCGCTACCATACTCCACCTCCACATCGATGCCAAGGTAGGAAGAGAGAGTCGAGGGCTCATTGTGTGGCGATGCCATGGTGTTTCGTGTTTTGCAAACCGTGAAGGTTGAAGCGCACACACCCGTCCTCTTCGAGGAAAAATTCGATTGACGTTTTGTGGTAACGTCAGTCTGATGGGGGAGGGTGTAACAGGGTTACACGTCGACTGGTAGTCGACAATAGGTGTGGTGCACACAAGGAATGGGATCCCATTTAAACTGTAATTAGAACACAGTATCAATTGTTGAAGACTGATGTCTGTCAACCATTGATTACGAAATCTTTTGAGAGGTTTATTTAGAACATTAGCGAGTAGGTTAAGTACGTTGTTCTAAGATGTTCTTTTAGGTTAAAAGAAATAAAGTTCAGTTCCGAATTTTGATCCGAAAGACACGTGCCTCTCTGAGGCGTCTTGTGATCGTTTGAGGAGGTAGCAACGCCTTGTTAAGGCAGCTACCCCTCGTGCACTCTGTGCGTTGATTCTCTGAATCGTTTGGTCTCCCTGGAACAGGGACCGTAAGCTCTCTGAGCTTGTTGACTCTTTGAGTTGGGTTCTTTAGACCAAAGTTGCTCGTAGAGCGTGAAGTCTTCCTCTGACTTGAGGAGCTGCGTAGCTCCGCCACACAATTAGTGTGTTTTGCACTAGTTTTTGCAAAACGTAATGGGTTTTGATGGATTTAACTAATTGAATGCGTCATTTATAGTACAAACAGGCAAAACAATGCCGTTTGGGGTGACGGCAGCCGTTTCGGCACTTTTTAAGACTGCAAAAATTGTTCTTTTACGTTGATTCGTCTACCAAATAATAGGGTTTCACGCAAAAACGTTTCCAAAAAGTGAGAAAAATAAGTACGCAAGGAGTTTGGGGCGACCAATGTAGCTCGCTTGAGCCAAAATCAATATAGTTCTTCGAGCTTCAGGGTCCTATAACTCCGCGGAAAATTAGGCAAATCAAATCCGAGACGATAGAAACGAAGCAGTTGCATATGTCGAGTCTACCCATATATATAGATGGGTAGACACTCATATATATGATGGGTAGACACTCATCTATGGTCTTAGATTTGTATGTAAACTGAATGGGGCGAGGAGCAGCTGCTGAGTGACCGAGATCTGATATTGCTACAGGTTATAGATGGGGCACACTTTTCGCTACAATTGTCTCCCGTCGTAATGATTGGCAAGCACAAAAATAGAACAAGTCGACATCCTCTGTTGAGTCCGATTACGGACAGTGTGGATCGCGGATGAACATCTATGATAAAATGCGTTATTTTTCATATCAGCGAGCCACAGCCAACCATCGCATCAACACGCTAACTGTGTGAAAGGCAGTGGTTGTATCGAATGTGTGCAACAGACACCGAAGGCAGATGTATCCAGATGAATATAACTATCACAACGACAATTTGATAACGAGCCTTACACTCGCAAGTTTCTCTGCTTCACGACCTGGACTCAACGACGTGGCAGGATGGCTTTGCGAGTGATGGACAATGTAGGAATCGACAACCATAACATGCCTTCAGACAATGCTATCACACCTGCCAAAGGTGCTTGTTGATCCTAAAGAGGTACAATGCGGTACGATGTAATTGGTCGTCAGCATGTGAGCCTACGTGAGGACGTGTTGTCGACATACGATACGGTCCAAATCGTCAGCCAAGAGAAACATCGACCTCGACTCCGTTCATTCCCGTTGTAAGAGCTGACAACGCAAGTCATACGACTGAACAAAGACGACTGGCGTTATGAGGTCAGGAGGTACCGCCGGCAAAGTACCGATCTTCTGCATCGCGTTGCACTGCAACAAAGTCGTCGAGATTTTCGTCCTCGTCAATCTCCGCATAATTTACGTACTCTTTGTCTGCGCCATTGAGAAATCGGATGCTCATGATCTCTTCGAGTTGTTGGCGTCGTTCGTCGACAGTATCCGCTATCGCAACGTCCATCTGCTCGAAATCTTGCTCCTTTTCCTCTTGCTCCTCTTCCTCTTCCTCTTCTTCCTCCTCAATGTTGTCAGCTTCGTACAATTTCTGCAGTCGCTTGCGCTCCTGTTTCTCGTTGAGCGCAGAGAACTGTCCCCAAGTAGCTTGCTCGGCCACCCGTCGAGCTTCCATTTCGCTGCGTTGATGGGTGTCGATCAAGAAAGTGGACAATGTCAATTCCGTGGTACCTGCTACCGGCCTTGTCCTTCCACCAATGCCCACGTACTGTCCCAAGTAAAAGTGGAACAGCGCAGGACTCCGCTGCTGCATCATATCGTCCGAAAAGTAGTGGTCCTCCGATGTGTCCTTCAGCAGCTGCTGCAGGCGTTGATAGCGTCGGTTTTTCGCTGCCACAGTGAGGCTGTGACTGCCACGTCCGGTCGAATAACGAGTCGCACACTCGGCTCGTGCTTGTGCCATGGACTTCGTCGATGGATCACTTGCAGGCGACACTAATGTCGCCATATACGCGTCCAATGGATCGAGAGGGTCTTCGCGGGTCATTCTTTTGCAAACTGATCAAGTACCGATCAGTGTCCCATCACAGTTGTCGCAATTCACTTACAATCGATGATGTCAAAGATGGGTACACAAGCGCGCGACACCACAGCTTTATTGAGACCCTAAGTTGGCAAGACGCAGCAGTGCACCATGCGCGACTCTTCTATCGCTCTCTTGTCGCTTCTCCTTCAATTTGCGCTTCACTACAACCTGCTCACTATCCACGTCGTCTCTGTCGCTTGCGCTTTCCCTACCCGCAATCACGTTTCCTGCTTGAACGTCGCCAGCAGCTCTGCCAACTCGCCCGACTTGTTCATGTCCGTGATAATGTCGCAGCCGCCAACGAACTCGCCGTTGACATAGAGCTGGGGGATCGTCGGCCATTGGCTGCCCATCGTTTACAAGTAGGCGTATACACACACATGACGTCAACATCAGGCGACCAACACCTTCTCACCTCTACCCGTTACACCACACAGCCACGTACGAAAACTCCTTGACCCCGTCCCGGATCTCAGGATGGTCCAAGACGTTGACGCTGTCAAAGCTCACGCCCTGTGCGTGCAAAATGCGCACGACCTGCATGCTGAACCCACACTGCGGAGCCGAAGGCGTTCCCTTCATGTAGAGCATCACAGGGTACGTCTTCACGTGCTTCTCAATCATTGCCAGGACCTCATCCTTGTCGTTCGACTTGGCTGCGTGGTACTGCGGCTGGAAGTCCGAGTGCGAATTGTCGTCGTCGTCGTCGTCGTTGCTGCTGCTGCGCGCGGACGAGAACCAGAGACGCGACGGCGCCACAACCGGAGCCAGTGCAATGTGCTGACCAGCACCCGCTGCGAACATTGTGCGCGGACTACCACGTCGGCCCGCGCGCGCCACGAGGCGGCGTCCCAGAGTCGTCATCGCTGTCGTCATGTTCATTTCTTGACTCCCACGTGCCTTAGTAAATCCGTCGCCACATTGAGCCACTCAGCCCGCCCCTGCATTTCGATTGGCTAAAACCCGCAACACCGCGCGATCCAACGCCAGCCACGATCCGATAGGCTATTTCTCCCGTCGATCCTTTCACCCATCCGATTGGCTATTTCACCCATCGATCGCCCACCAATCAGCGTCGACGTTTCCCTTGCCACTGCCGCATTCTCGAGTTCTCCGCGCGGACAACAAGTGACCCGACGACTGCGCGCGCCATTTGCCCGTTGCGCTTTGTCCCGCGCCAATGACGCCGTCCAATCCGCCGCAGGCAGTGGCAACCGGCGCCGAGTACGCCTCGCAACAAGCAGCTGCCGCGACAGCTGCGCGCTTTGCCGGCTACTCGTCGTTCTACGCGTCCCCAGCGCCGACTCAGACTCAGCCCCCGACTCAGAATCTGAGTCCTGTTATCCGCGCGCCACCGCGGCCGCGGCCGGGACTGTTTACGCGCCCACAGGGACCGCCACCACCGCCGCCACCTCGTCCACTGCACGCGCTCCATACTGCCGCTCGTTCGCGAGTACCGCCGCCGCCGCCGCCGTCGATGGCGCTGTTTAGTCGCGGCCCGCCGCCCGTATGCCGTCCTCCGCCCCGTCCCAGTGCGCAGGTCATGTCGCAATGGCAGTGGACCAATGGCAGCAGTGGATTGCCCGCCTCGGCACCGTCAGCAGCTCCTGCGGCGCCGCTGATGAGGCCGCAAGTGACGCCACAACATCGCGGACCGCTCGGTCCTCGTCCTCCTCCGCCTAGCAGCATACGGCCTCCTCCTGGCGCGTTCGCAGCAGCACCACCAGCTGCTTCGTCGAGTGCAGCCGGCGCCGCCAAGTGGCCGGAGGCGCTGCACGAGTATGTGAAGCGCGCGTTTGCTCGTTGCAGAGGCGCCGCCGACCAGACGATCACGCAGAACGCCCTGAAAGAGCTAATCACGAATGCGATCATGACGAACAGTCTATGGACCAAGAACTGGGCGGTCGAGCCGCTGCCAGTGCTGATTGGCGACGCGCCAGCCGTAGCAATGCAGACCAAAAGCGAGACGATACATGGACGTGTCGGACCGGAGTTAGTTGGTGGTCGCACGGCGTCGGCTTTGCATTGTACCAGTGGAAGAGGTAGTGCTGTGCACGTCAATCAGACCGCTGTGTTGCCGGGGAAAGAAGTGTCGGGCAAGAAGAAGAAGACGAAAAAGCGCAAGCACGAGAGCGCTGAAGTCGACCGAGCAGATGACCAGCGCAAGACGGAGCGCAAGCAGCGGTTCTTCCAGACACAACAGGAGCTAAAGCGGTGGGTAGTGCCTGAAGTCGATACGAAGAAGCTGCAAGTGCTGACGCTCGATGGCGACTTGGACTTGGCCGCGATGGTCATTAAAGGTACTAGCCAGACGATAGAGAAGGAATACTTGCGATTAACGTCTCCCCCGCATCCATCGACGGTGCGGCCCGAGCCTGTGCTGCACAAGGCGCTGGAGCTTGTCAAGTCGAAGTGGAAGAAGGGGGATCACGATTATATTTATGCCTGTAGCCAGCTGAAGTCGATCCGCCAGGATTGCACGGTCCAGCACATCAAGAACCAGTTTACCGTGTCTGTGTATGAAATCCACGCCCGCATCGCGCTCGAGTCGGGCGATATCAACGAGTTTAACCAGTGCCAGACGCAACTCCATGAGCTGTATGAGAAGCTGATCCCGGGCGAGGCGATCGAGTTCCTCGCGTACCGCATTTTATATTGTGTGTACGTGTCTTTGCAAGCGAAAAAGGGTGACTCCAATGCAGGTCAGCTCGGCATGTACAACGTGCTGGGCTTGGTGACCGCCAAATTACGGACCGACGTGGCGATCAGTCACGCACTGGCAGTGCGTCAGGCGGTTGCTATGAATGATTATCACCGTTTTTTCAAACTCTATGTAGGTGCTCCGAACATGGCAGGGTATCTGATGGACGTGATGGTTCCGGCGATTCGACTGAGCGCACTGCGAGCTATGTGCAAAGCGTACGGTGCTCTCAAGTAGATTGCTCTGTTCTGTTGCTGATGCTGACTGACTGACTGACTGACTGACTGACTGATGTTGTCGTTGTCATGCATAGATTCCGTCCGACCGTTTCGATACAACATATTCGCAACGAGCTCAAGCTTACAGGGAAGGCAGGTAAAGCATTTATCCGTCAGTCTGGTCTCGCGTTTGTGAAGGGAGACAAGTCGCGCGTGGACACGAAAGCCTCGGACATCGTCTGGACGCTGAGTAACGAGTCGTCGCTAATTTAAGCTGTTGCTAGTCTGGTTCGCGTGAAGCGAGTGAGATGGCCCTCTCGCAAGTAGAGAAAACAGAGCTGCCGCAGCGGACGCCGTGCGATGTCGAAGACAAAGCAAAGCAGACGGTGAGGTGTGGATAGCTGAACATGCGAATGCCGAAAAGGCATCGCGTGCAGCGTCCATTGCCAAGCATCGCGGTGAGACCGTCGTCTCGGTATGGCCAACACCTCGCCAAATAGCAGCAATTACAAGCTGGGAAGTGATGTGACAGGCTGCTGAGAGGCGATGATACTTGCGATCGGAATCGAACAGCTGCAGCAGCGACTGACGAGTTCAGGAAATGCCGACATGAGAACGAAGAGGTCTTAGTAGTGACCACTGTCGTGGTGTGTTTATGCACAGTAGCGGTGGCATACATCTACAACTTGTCAGCTGTGCTGCCATGAAGCGACTGCGGGTAACGATGACGGCATCGATCGGACTCTCTTTGCTGAGCTTGTATCGCTAACATATGAAACTGAGTTTTGAGTCCACTCGTCGCGTTGTCTACGTGGTTGGTGGTGTGTGTATCTAGGCTGGGAATCTCTCACCAAGCAAGCGACGTGGTGGAACAGAGCTGGCGCAGAGTCCTTTCACAGCTTCCGCTTCTTCTGCACCGGCTCGTCCTGCTTACTGCCGTCGCGGCCCAGCTGAATCATAGCGGCATCAGCGATAACAAGTGCGGCCATCGACTCCACCAGCGGCACCACGCGGGGCAGAACACACGGGTCGTGACGACCTTTGGCTTCTAGGACCGTGTCGTTGCCATCGTAGTCGACGGTCGGCTGAGCGCGTCCGATCGTCGAGACGGGTTTGATGGCCACACGAAAGTAAATGTCAGCGCCGCTCGTGATGCCGCCCAGCACACCGCCCGCGTCGTTCTTCGTGACCCCGAGCTTCTCCGGGTTCTCCGCGTCGACGCCCGCGCAGAACGGATCATTGTGCTCCGAGCCGCGTTTGCTCGTTCCCGAAAACCCCGAGCCAATCTCAAAGCCTTTGGTCGCTGGAATGGACATCATGGCGTGTGCCAAAACAGCCTGCATCTTGTCAAAACAGGGCTCGCCCAGCCCCACGGGCGCATCACGGATCACGCACGTGACGACACCGCCCGTCGAGTCTTCCTCGACCTTCATCGTGCGCACCACCGTCGCCATGGCACAAGCCGACGGCGGATGCGGACATCGCACGGGGATCAAGTCGTCCGTGAGCCACGCGTCCATGTTGTCGGGCGCCGGCACCACGTCTCCCTCTCGATTGTACACGCGCTTCTCCGTGTCAACGTACGCCGGTGTGCGCAGGTCGTCGTGGGCCGATACGAACGCAGCGTCGTAGGCCCTGTCAAGCGCCAATTGCTTCGCGGGGTCGTCGACTTTGTGCCACGTTGACGGGTCCCGTACGATCCGAATCGATCCGATCGTATCGACGTCGTCGCGAGTGTATTTCGTCTGCTGCGGGTCGTCCAGCAGGGCCCGGGGCATGTTTACTGAGCCAATGGAGCTCACCCAGCACACGATCGTCGTGCCAAACTTTTCCTTGAGCCACTTCTCGGCAATGGCACCCGAAGCCACGCGGCCGATCGTTTCGCGTGCACTGGCCCGCCCGCCGCCACTGCTGGCGCGCGTGCCGTACTTCATCTGGTACGTGTAATCGGCGTGGCCAGGACGCGGGACGGAGTCCATCTCCTTGTAGTCGTTCGGACGCACGTTCTCGTTGGGCACGAACAGCGCCACTGGTGTGCCGAGCGTCACTCCGTTCTCCGTCCCGCTCAGGACCGTCACTTGGTCCTTCTCGTCGCGAGGCGTCGTGAGGGTGCTCTGCCCGGGGCGGCGCCGCGTGAGCTGTGGCTGGATGTCCGCCTCCGTGAGGGCGAGCGAGGGCGGCACGCCGTCGACGATGCAGCCCACGCCTTTGCAGTGCGACTCGCCGAACGTCGTGACGCGGAAGAAGCGGCCGAACGTGCTCATGGTGGGGAGAGGTGGACGATAAGAGGCGACAGCGGTGGCGATGGGTACAGTGCGACGCGGCTGGTCGAACACGGAATGGAAAGGATCGGTGGCGATTGGCGTCGATGGTGTGGTAATAGTGTCCCCCTGTGGTGGTATTCTGTGGACATAAGTACGTTATTGTTTGCGCATGTGCGTCGATGTGGTACTTGCGGGTGAGTGTGGGCAAGTTTTGGTCTAAAAATGTGCTGCGAATAAAGTGTGTGTGACGCAATTGTGAAAGAACAGCGTTCACGCTGTGTGTGTATGGCCGCTCGCGTGGCCCAATGGATACGGCGCTGCCCTCCTAAGGCAGAGATTGCGGGTTCAAGTCCCGCCGTGAGTACACTTTGCCAAAATGTTTTCGTCGCTGCGCCTTTTTTTGCCGCGGCCATCGTCGCACTGCACGTGGACAACCTAAAACGAATCAGGAGTCTTGAGTGAGGACATGGACCGCATGTTGACATTTGGTGTGTGGCGGGTGCAGACATTTGCACCATGCAAGTCTGTGCTCATTAGCTGCACTGTTCCTTCTGGAAATGACTGGCGTTTAATAACGGCACGGAACTGTCGTTTCGAAAGACGCACTCGTAGAAGACAGATGCAGTCAGGACTTGTTGTAATGCATTGATGCACCTTTGCGCAGGATACACCAGGACAACCGCTAGAAGTGTTGTGCCCATGGCCAAACCCTGCAAGTTGTTATCAGTGATCAATGTTTCTTTTGGGCGCGGTTGTACTCTACAAAACTAGCTTAGTCTAAGGGCCCGGGTGCTGCAAATGTTCACAGAACGGAACTTCTCGGGAACGATGCCAACACCTACACGCCAGATAAGATGTGCATGGAGCAATATGTTTTGTTTTCCCCACTGATTGCTACAACGATCAAGCACGAGTTGGCATCACGCTGTCCCACTGCCGTATCGATCAGCCGTTGTCGCAATTCTAGCCTGGCGTTTCGATGTTCGCAACCATTTCATTCTCATCAGAGGCAGTCGACCCTATCCATCGCAGTGGGTGCAAGTAAAAAGGCGTAGTATGTGTAGGGGTGATACGGCAATTCCTGTGCTGCCAGGTATGTGCGTGAGGTTTGCGACCAATAAATTGCGCGAGAAACTCGTTCATCGAACAATGCGATGATAACGGGGCGTTCCGTGGTCGTCGGCTGTCTATATACGCCTGAAACGATCTGATAGAAGCATTGTGGCATGCTGTTCAACCCCTGCGTATCCTACCGAGACGCAATGTGGCCAACGATGCACACATTACAGTGCGGTGCGCTTCTACTACCGCAATTCTCGGTCCATTACGAATGCGGACAATAGCGAGCAATTTCGTTGCAGCAATTTGCTAATTGTTAACATTTCATACTTTGCCATTTACTTTGCCATTGTAAAGACCGCGAGCGCGTCGGCGCAAGGATTCACGCGAAAGCCACCAAGCCTATACCATGTTGACTGTGTCACACATTGAATCATCACGAACTTGTCATGGGTCGGCGTCCGCAATCGCAAGAAGCTCGCCCATTTGAAAGATGTCATTTCGTTTCACACAAAAAGTATGTGGCAGCACGGATGCTAAGTTCAGTGGATTGCACATCGCGCAACATCTCTCATAGCTAGCGGTGTCCAATACAAGCCCCATGGCGCACCCTTTCGGCGCGACCTGCAATGGGTAGCAGCCTCAAACCCTATGTCCTACCTTGGAGGTGGCTGCCCTGTCGCCATGCGTAACAGTACAAAAACACTTTGCCTTTTGCACCTTTGAAATTAGATCCACTACACTACGTGCGCAGTCCACAAATGCTTTCTTTGAGTTATGATAGGGCGATGTGGTATGCACTTGCACTTGATTTTGTGTCGAAAAGTCACGCAATTCGATGATGTCAGAGGTGTCACGCGTAATCACTAAAAATGCACTTGAATCGTTCGAGCTATGGAAGTACATGTAACAACGATAGCCGCATTGCACCTAGCTTTATTCCAGTAAAGCTGTTCACAGCATTCTACAAATTTTGTCATGAGTTGACGCTGGCAGGAAATGGCACCAGTTTGTACACGATAGTCCGTCTGCAATGTCAGACTTCTCACATGGTTCCACGACACTCCCCGTCACACAATTCAAGCCATCATAGTCGGTGTCTAGCAGAGATTCCGACGGCCTGCCAGGTATCAGAACACAAATGTCATGCGCGACGAAGACAAAGACTCGGGTATGGACATGAGACGACGCTAGCACTATCTACTAACGATGATCACGTTGCATGGCTGGCGGATCCAATATCTATTACAGGAGAGGAATCAAGAGGTACATGTTGCTGATTTACAAGTGCTCTTTGATCATGCGCGAGGACTGAGAGACCGTGGATTGTAAGGAATAGTTCTAATAATACCGATGATCTTTTAGGATAGCGCTTCAGCGACTCGATGTATGTAAACAGCATGGCAACCATGATTACTCTTATGACCTCTCGATGCTCTCTCTTCACCATTGCTTGCTTTTGACAAATGCAGGAAGCCCGATTGTCGATTGTGCCCGCGTGGTCATTGATCTCGGCGGTTCGGCACGCATCCGCGTTCTTGTCGACCCGAATGCGTGTTTGACAGATCGTTGCAAGGACGTGCTACGCGCTTGTTAGTGCGCGTTCGCCTTCGTCCGCGTGGTCAAGATACTGGTCAGTCACTACATACTTCCTGTCCGAGAGTATACTGTAAGCTCGTCTGCTTATGCGGACGCTTGAGACGTCTTGCATCGACTAGCGAATCGCTGATTATCTCCTTCAGTGAATTCAATACTATCCCCAAGCACTGTTGCGTAGACCTACACAGTCCTGAAACTAATGGACTATGGCCTCCACGCATCCTCGGCGGGCAGACGTGTTCTTGCACGATTGACCTCGTATCCGTGGCAGGATACAAGTTTGGTTGCCGCATTGCAACCAGATACGCAGTAAAGACTCGATGAGAGATGAGGCCAATACTTTGATTCTAGGTTTACATCAGCGTTTGCCTGCCGTCAACTTGTTGGAAGTCACGTGCTGTATCGAGTCCGTGCGTTTTCCATGGTGAGCCTTCGATCATCCTTGCACTGTTCAACATTCAATGACAGTTCGCCTCGAATGGCGGCGTCAGTTCAGTTGAAGTGGCGGCCTCGAGTTCGATTCTGTCCTCGACGGGTAAGTCGTGCGCCTATCGAAGAAGGGCTGTCCACACTGACGTAAGATTGCATCCGAGAGAAGTCCAGAATGGTCATATTGCAAGACGTGCAGGAAGGTGGTCCGAAAGAAAGACCACCTCATATATTGCGCTCAAGAGCAGCGCCGATCAAGCGATAAAGTTAACGAACGGGGCTTTATTCCGGACCTCTTGCCGTACGGCGGGTGTGAAAAGGCCCCTGCCTTACCTCACGAGACGGATCCGATGCCTCTAGAGAAGACTGGCGAAGCGGTCTATCTGACACGGAGCGCCGTGCTACATTCGGGTCGTCCGATGAACTAGTCACTCATCGTGGGGTCTGATTCCAAAGCACGGCGTCTGCTTTCTGCTGCGTGGGACGCAAAGGCAGCGCATCGAGCAATCGGAAGGGACGATAGACAAGACATCCGAAGGTGTGGGGCACGTCGGCATAGTACTGAACAGCCGCCCTGCAGCTGGTACCGGCAAGTCGATCCTCACCTGTATCTACTTACACAGCGCGACCCGTTTGCTGTGCGACCATTCTGGTCCCACGAAGAGACTCTGCCTCGAACGTGATGCTGTCTGTTGGATCTGGTGCTAGAATGATACGCAAGTTGTGAAGATAGACCCTCGGTACTTGTCCAAAGCGACAACTGGTCGACCCTTGTTACGCCTAAGTCCTGGACGCACCCGAGGACGGGGTTACCAGTCACACGCGTCCTTCGCAAAGTGCTTTTTACCCTTGGGACGCCCGATGTCTCGCAATGGTCGAATTAGCGAGCGGGGACGGAGACTGATGTTGTCGTGGTAGACGACTTAGGCATACGTTGATTCAGATAGACATCTCCGAATAGTCGGAAAAGAGCTCAGGACACCGTCTGACGTCTTCGCTCGCTCTTGCAAAAGAAAGGTCGCTACTCTCGCACCGCATGCCGGTGGCTGAAACAAGATGATTACCGGCGCAAACCTCTCTTTGACATCATCGATGGGCTTGGCTCTCGCAAAGTCAGAAGTGGTACAAACGCTCTGTGTAAACTCGTAAGATGGGCGTCAACCAGTCAATATCGCAGTCATTTTCTAGGTGTGACAGAAGAAAGATGGGATGGTACACACTCGTCTCTTCGGAACTTGACTGCATTCATGTTTCGATGTCTACGGCACTGACGGCTCGCGGCGGAGTCTGTGAGTAGCCGTACCGGCATCGAGTATCCCACCCGGACAAATGAAAGGTATCCTTTCCTGTCAAGGAAGCATTGATTGACTACCATTCTATGGCGGTCAAAAGGAGGCACTGCCTTGCATCATTTTTCGCGGTGGTCAGCTGAGCAGGGAAGCTAGAACAAGAGGGTGTCTTCCTGGACGGGGGCATACATAGGAGGATATCGTGGTGTTTGACAACATGCAAATGCCTGCTCTCGATGAGACCGTCACGGAATTCTCTAGCTACTTTTGGCAGTTTCAGCGAGCGTTTGACGGCGACATTGAGGTGTATATCTTCCAATGCAGTCGTTTGTAGTGGATACCGTGCACCGCTGTATAGCGACAACGTGGATGGTGGAGAGAAACTAGGTCATACGTGAGCAAATACAGTAACAACGGAAGGGAATGTCGTGAGTACAACCTTCGAGGACTTTGGCAATTGCGTGCGGCCTCGACTTTGGAGCGCCGAATAATACATACGAACGTGCGAGAAGTACGTCTTAGGCAGCGCATTGAGCTGCTCGACGTCACACCGTCAAGAGCATCACATCATGTGATGAGTCACGTCCTGTCGCCAGATCGTTCGACCTAACTCTGTCAACCATACAATTAGGACGTCCCAGACGTCCTGTACAGATCGAAGACGTCAGATAGACTACCCCTCATCTTTTCCTCTCTGGTACTACGATCTGTCCGTCTAATGTTCGGACCACAGGAGAAGAACGCACGAGTCGAGACCAAAGGCCACGATCCGGAACCTGTCGTCCTGTAAGCGCATAAACAAAGATCCTCGATTCGGTGATTGAGTAACTTTGATCCAACGCGCGTGAATCTTTCCTCCTCGCACGCGATCGTTTGACTAATGCACGCGGCGGTACGAAACGTAGAAGCGATTTGTAGCAAGATACCAGCAGCCCCGACACTTGGAAAATCTGCCAAGATTCGGAGTCCAAGAATCGAAAAGATATGTCTCGGTCTGCAAGCAGCGAAAATGGGATCCCAGATATGTCGTCGGTCCGAACGGTCCCCGAGCACGTGTGCGTGATGTGATTGGTCGAGAGACAATTAGACCCCCCGGTGGTCCAAAAAACCACCCGGAAAGGCCACACAACGCCCTTCTATTGTGTGTGGTGGGAGTGGCCACAACATGCGACTTGTCATTCCTGAAGTTCCACAGTATCCGATAAGTCGAAGCCAAACATGTCGCACACGCCATCGGAGACCGACAGCGAACGCTCTGTCAAGCGCCAGCGCCTCGAAAACCGCAACGTACTTGCGATTAAGCCACTGGTCCCGCCGTCCTGTGTCCTGGAAGAGCTGCCCGTGACCCCCAAAGTACATGAGCTCGTGGACGTGACGCGAGATGCCGTGTCCCGCATCCTGCACGGCGAAGACGACCGCCTCGTGGTCATTGTCGGTCCGTGCTCGATCCACGACGTTGCCGCCGCGATGGACTATGCCAAGCGCCTGAAAGCGCTGGCGGACGAGCTGGACGGCGAGCTGCTGGTGATCATGCGCACGTACTTTGAAAAGCCCCGCACGACGGTGGGGTGGAAAGGGCTGATCAACGACCCCGACTTGAACCAGTCGTTTGACATCAACAAAGGCATTCGCATTGCCCGCAAGCTGCTGCTGGACGTGAACGCGCTGGGACTGCCCGTGAGCCTTGAGTTCCTCGACACCATCTCGCCGCAGTTCACGGCCGATCTCATTTCGTGGGGAGCTATTGGCGCTCGTACCACCGAGTCGCAGTTGCACCGTGAACTCACCAGCGGCCTGTCGATGCCTGTTGGCTTCAAGAACGGCACGGGTGGCAATGCCCAAGTGGCAGTGGATGCAGCTGTCGCGTCGTCGCAGCCCCATAATTTTCTTGGACTCAACGAACACGGACTTGCCGCGATCGTGCGGACCAAGGGCAACAAGGACTGCCATGTGATTCTGCGTGGCGGCTCAAGCGGTCCAAACTACGAGCAAAAGCACATTGACGAAGCTGCTGCGATGCTGGTGAAAGCCAAGCAGCCGTCCAAGATCATGGTCGATTGCTCGCACGGTAACTCACGCAAGGTGCACACGAACCAGTTGAAAGTGGGCAGCTACTTGGCCGATATCATTGCCGAAGGGTACACAAAGGTGCTTGGCGTCATGGTAGAGTCGAACATCGTGGAGGGCAACCAGTCGCTTGGTGACGACCCGTCTAACCTCGTCTACGGCAAGAGCATTACGGATGCGTGCATCAGCTGGGACGACACAGTCATTATGCTGAAAGAGCTCGCGGACGCCGTCATGAAGCGACGCACACGAGCTGCTGCAAACCCAGCCGATTGCGACTAGTTGTGAGGACTCTGACGACATAGTTCTTTACGTACTGGTCAAGTGCATTCTTTTCTAATATCATTCGTGTAGACACGTTGACGCTCGACTTGCTTACTCTATGAGAAGATAGCAAGTTGCAAGTGGGTGGGCAGCACAGGATCATGGGTGACTTCGTGCTAAAGATGAACCCGATCGTGAGTCGATGCTTCTATCGACCTTGACACACGTCTACTGCTGTTGCACAACGTTTACGCTTTACATGATTCGCGCGTACATACAGCACTGGACGGTTTAGGTACTCGAAAGCAGAAGAAAATGACAGATAGCACTCGTGCGGTATCTTTTACCGTAGAATGGGCACTAGTTTGCACGTGATGGGACGAAAATTCTATCGTGTGTCCGCTCAGCAGTAGACCGCATCCTTTCGGCATAGATTGGCAATGTACAATTGCAAGCGTCGACTTTGGTGCCACTTGAGATTGTCATAGCCGCTATCGCTGTCGCTAATGGTCTGGCAAGTCCTGACAATATCGCATAGCAGCATACAAACTCTGAAGATGCAGCCGTCAAAAGTCGGTCGCAAGTTGCTTGCTCGTACTCGCGATAAGTTTGCGTGCCCCCCCCGCAATCTACGCGTCCAGAAGCTCACATCAGGGTTAGACGCATGATGATCACTAGAGTGACGAAGCATAACGCTGTGCTGTATGCAGCATTGCTGAACCACCAACGCTATGTATGCAAGCTGTAGGGCTACGACAGCATGTGACGCTGCGAGCGCCAGAACAACCATGGAAGGTGCTGACAAAATGGCAGGTCACGTGCTTACCCGAAAGACTTTTGGTTTCGGACTGATGTACGTCAGCTTTTGCATCAGGCAGACAGGACGAAGGAGACACGGAACGGATCAATTTGTGTGTAAGTGTCTACTATGACACGAGTGCCTCTCCGATGATAACCACATATATGACTGGGTAGATTCGGTCCTTTTGAACTTGCTGTTCCTGCTCGAGCCTTTAGCTATAGCGTTGTGTAGTGAGTGCACACAAAGACACACATGCAGCAAGACCGTTGTTCCTCATGCCTGACGTCGTGTCGAAATCAAGCACGTTCAACGTCTCCTTGACAAACGCTTTGATCTCGTTCGACGAGCAGCTACCGATACAGCTACCGATACAACTACATCCCATTCGTGAGAATGTCGAGGCTGCTTCCACAAGGTCGGTTCGTCTAGTTCGCCCAACCACATGTCACTGCTGCGTTACGATCTATGCGTCTCTTAGTGTATGTGCCAAATTTGACCCCAAGAGCGCTACTAAAAACCCACTCCATCCATACAACTTTTGACTTTTTGCATTCTTACACAAATCGTCTTCATACAGATCTGCAGACTTTGACAGCAGCAGCCCTTCTCTTACCGGTCCTTATAGGGTATCTACCGAGCGGTGAAGCTCGTCACGAGCCAATCTATCGCCACACTGAGCTTGCACTAGTCCATCTTCACAATACTGATGCTCGCAACTCCCCTCATTGCTTTTTACACATTCGTGGACAGACAGTGACGCATGTGTTGCGTCTAGCGTATTTCAGGGCACCACAAAACGCATCGACATGAATCTCGTCGTCATTGTGCTCACCTGCTGCATCCCCTTCGTTCATTACGTAGCTGTAATGGTGCAAATGTTTGGTGCAACCTAATTGCTAGCTACTGACATTTTGCCCCTTCCGAAAGTGCTTGGCCGGCACCTCGTTATGGTCGATAAACTCCTGTTGTGAACATACCCGTTGCGCACGCTTTGCGCATCGTCTCTGGCCCCACTTTCCATCACGAAGTCGCGCTTCGTCTTCCAGCTCAGGTTGCACGCGGCTTGCTACATGAGCTTGCTCGGTCCATCTCGTATCCTCCTGATCGCATTACGATGTCGCTTCGCAATGACGCAATGTCATGCAATTATAGTGCCATGTTTGTCATACAGTCACTGCCGTTGATACGTTTGTGCTTGACTATGCTGTCCGTGTGACGCTTGTGCAAGTGTCAACTAATCTGCCAAGACGTATATTTAGGTTTATTCAGAGAAGAAGATACAAACAATGCTGCGGTAAACATCTGGGCTACTGTTCAACGCAGGATAGTTGTGAGCCCAACGACTAACTGCGACGGCGCAACCCCATTCAGTGTGGACGACGGCCACAGCTATTTAGCGGTGACTCAAAGTGGCGTGAAATGTACAAAGATTTTGCACATGTTCGTGATAAGGAATGTATGAAGGAAAGCTACGTGACGTGTAGATAAGCTTCATTACCGAGCCACGATCCGTCTTGCGGTGGATGCTAGTGTGCTTTGTACAGGTCTGGCGCTGCCCAAGACGGAGGTGGATTTGCGCGAGGCAAAAGAAATAAGCCACTATTGAAGCAGCCCTGGGGATGAGGCCGGTGGTCACCCCTGCTTCTGGTAATTGTATGGCGATGACGTTAGCACAGGCGGTGGCCAGTCATGACCTGGTAGCCCTGGATAGCCTACTGGTTGGTCTTGCGGCTAGCATCAAGCGTAACGTATGCTACGCGGGGTTGTTGAACTTTGAGGATCAACTTGATCACGCAGTTCTTACGGCAACGCTTATCAAGGTGCAGCGCGGATGGTCAGGCATTGACTCCCGAGCCTCCACCAAACAATTACAATTTCAACAGACCTTCATGAATACGCATCCTTTCCGTCGGCGCGCCTCTCTAGCGTTTAAAAGCATGATTATGGGAGCAGTGCGATTTTACCGATTGCGGCCATTTTTCTCCAACGCACGGTATTTGTGCTCACTCACAACGCCGACGGCCATCCAAGGGGTGGACTTGCTTCATGTATCGCCCTAGCACTACCACGCGGGGCACTAGAATCTTTGAGACCGGCCAACAGTTGTCCCTGGATACAAGTTAGTGCGTCTAGGCAATCAAATTGGCCAAATCACAGGACCTGCAACGACCCCTGCTTCTTCGAGTTTGGGGGGCGGTCATTACTCTGCTTCCGCGCACACGGCATTGTCGAAAGAAGGTCACCGCTCGCTGCTAAAAGAAGCTAGTCCAGCTTGCACGGACACTACAACGTCCAGCGAACTGACGGACGAACGATCACAAGAGCCTGATCAGCTCTCCACGGACGTCCAAGACTTACCTTCTCCGTTGGATGCCAACGATAGCAGTGGATTTCAGCTCACGTTAGTGTCTACCTCTTGGGACAAGTGCGCACCATCAGTGGCTAAATAGCTGACACATTCACCGACTTCAGCGGAGGGTGAACAGATTCTCCGAGTCGTGCGTACTCAGTTAGAGGTACGCGCGCTCGATAGCGAGGAGTGTATGCAGGACTCGGCTCACCCTAGCTCCACGAAGGATAGTGTGGCCTCCCGCGAACCATGGCTCACACACGGGGACACCTGGCCTTCTTCGTCGACAACGGTATTCCCTCACATGCAAAGTATCACCACGGACTGGATAACGGCGGCGAAGCGAGAGCCGATCGCAATACTTTCTTGGCTACAGAATCTTCTGTTTCCGGATAAAATTCTTGGCGCTCTCGACGATGAGGTGTTTGAAGCTGGACTGCGGCTTGAAGACGCAGCTGTTTATAGGTTAGGTGGAGGGCGTCTCGAACCAGAATAACTACAACGTCGACGTGCCAGTGCTTGGACCCTTGAGTAGTTAAATCTTTATTCGGCCAGCCCCAAACAATCTACCCGCGCTTGTTGACAGCCGCGACGACTGGGTTTGGCTCCGCTTTTATGGCTTACGGGGACGATCCGATACTACAATTCTGTGACGTGATGAACAAAACTAGCCTCGCCAGACATGTTATTCGCTCAGGATTATATGAGAAGGAGGTTCTCGTGCTGATTGATCAGGAATATAGTGCAGAAAACGGGGCGGTGCATCGACTCGGCTGGCACTTGGATACGCTTAAGACGGTTGATCCGTATGGTGCAGCGTACTCCACCAATTAAATTGTAAAGTGGAGATCGATTGCGGTATTTTTTTATCTCTGCGTCATAGCACGGGGCAGGGGAGCGCACCTTACATGACTAAGGACAGCCATCTCCTTGTGGCTCAGGCTCCTTCACGTGCGGGGTGTTATATATTGCAGAGACTTGGCTAAAGACTTGGTAGCATGATGGAATAAGTGGAAGTAAATTGAGTTTATCAAACTGTGTCAAATATATGATACTGTTAGCCACCATTCCCCTATCTTGTTCGAATCTTCTAAACACACTTCTAGAAGAAGATAACTTCGTAGAGTTGGACACTCCAGCACATGGATGGCATGGCAATTGTTTGTATAATAGATGGTGGCTCACCGTCCGTTACACGGGGTTTCTGGGAGCAACGGACGCATACGCCGGCATATGTATCTCCGGCGTGCGTCCAGCTCAGAGCAGGGCAAACAGACCACACCTAGGTACCATGAATCTAGACGGATTAGAAACCAGAATGTCCGGGGTTTTAGCGACAAGTATAGAGATAAATCGCTTATTGCGTGGATACGTACACAAGTAGCCGAACCTCCGCTGGCGTGGTTGATCCAAGAAACTCATATCAGCAGCCAAGATGAAGCTTATCTTCTCAAGACTTCGTTGGCCCGCTAATGGGGACGGCCGATTCGATAGGATGTCCCAGCATTGTCGTATTGGAGTGTCAGTGATCGACGTATAGCTGAAGTGGCTTTTCTTATGCATTTATCTGTTGCCGCGCTGGACACCCCTTGAAATTTGACTTGCTGGTCTAGTCGAGTGGTCGCGGTGGACATTGGCGATATGCGGGGGGTAAATGTAGATGCACCGAGCGTACCCGTTGACCGTGAGTGCCTTTTTTCCCATTTACAGGGGTGGCCCTGAACCCAATGACCGACTATACTAGGTGGCGACTTCAATAAATGTGTACAAAGCCCGCCACTGGACCAGCCCGAGGGGCAACAGCAGTGGTATCCGGAAAGCCCTGCGCTTCAAGCCCTCGTCGAATTCATCCAGCTGGAGGATGCT